ACAAGCTAGCCAGAGGTGATGTTGATCCTCAAACCACATATCCTGCTGAGCACGCGACACAAAAAGGCAATCCCTTTTTGTGTGTATGGTACAGCATTTGAGTTATGGGAACTGCGTTGTGCATTATTAGCCTTAGGACTCGGAGAGCGGCATGTTTTGCCGAAGTTGTACAGAGCAGTATCAAAAAGAGTTGTAAAATTTGTAATCTGCCGGGGTCGATGATATGCCCCCTGGCTCTCCATCTAGTTATCAACTTGTCACATCCCAGTCGATATCCAACGGTGGTAATGTCAATCCATCGGCTAAATGAGCGGTATGAAGAAAGAGTGGGACCATCGAGTCAGGTTCGAAACCACATGAACACGACCCCAGCATTGCAATCCGAAACTTGTCGCCACAAGAAAACGAGCGAGGCCGAAACATCAAACACTGGGCCCACCGTTGATAAATTCAATCGGCGGTCTCGTTTTCATTCCACGCCTCCCTTATTTGAGGTGTCGGGCCTGCGGCCCAGGTGCCCATGTACTGGTGTTTTAAGGGGTGCACCCAATAGCAATCTCGAGGGTCCAGTACTACGTCCTTTGCTCTTGTGTCCAGACAAAAAGGAAAATACTGTGGTTGCACACCTTCAGACTCTTCAATTACACAAGCCGGGATTATGTCTTTCAAATCAGAGGCGATAGGAGCTGCACCAATCTTCATCAGTGGTGACCCAAGAAGACCATCATAGTAGCCATCACAGGCTCTCCAGCGCACGGGTGTTTTGCTAATGCACAAATTTCTTGAAATACCTCACAGAGAAGGGAAAATTTTGAAAAGGTAACTCTGGAGGTGGTCTCAAAAAGGGTCCTCCCGCAGCCCCACCGGCTGCTGACAAAAGGGTCACCAAAAAGTACATTCCGGTAGCTGGCCTCTCCAATGTGACCTGAAAACTGCCTCAAATTTTGGGATTTAACGCCATCCGAGTCAGGTCCCCATGTGAGTATGCCCTCAGTCTCCTTTCACATACTTGGAGAGTAGTGGAGCGAGGCCCTCAACTTCGGCCATCCCCACACCACTCTCAAAATTTGCAAAATGAGAATGAACCCCAAGCTAGAACATGTCCAGTTGCACCCGCCACATTTTTGTCTTTTTCAACTTTCAAGAGCGGTGTGGTGAGGCCCTCAACTTACTTCCCAGGTTTCCAATGCCCTAACGGTTCCCAAAACTTCTCGAAGTTCCTCACGGGGTCCGGGACATTTCCCCTCCTATACCCAGCGCGCCATCACTTTTGTCTCGTTGACAACTGAAAATCGTTGCTCGCAGAATCATCGTCATCGCATCAGAGAGCTGCGGCATCAAAGGCATCGCCAGAATCCAAACAGCAAGGACATCGCCACGCAACTGTCAAAATGTGCAAAATGAGAATGAGCTTCCCGGTAGAACATGGCGAGGTGCACCGGCCACCGTTTCGTCTTTTTCACATTTCAAGACTGGTCTGGCGAGGGCCCAAGTCACCCATGTCGGATTCAAAGTAATCGCTTCGCCAGTGCCCAAGTGATCTCTATGTCTTTTGCCAGGTTCTTCTTGTCATAATTTCTTGTTTTTGTTCTCACCTCTTTATCTTATCAGATCTTAAACTACGAGGGACAGCAGTTAGTGTTAATAGTCTGGCAGTCTATCCGATTCGCGTCTACAAAAGAAGACGGCAATCAACACTGCCCACCTTTATCACTGTACACTAAGCCTTCTGTAAGTAGGAGGCTGGATGCGGTTTCCAGCACGTGCAGCTCCATCACACGTGGAGGAAAGTATCATCGAGGGATTTCCCTTATAAACCTCCATAGTGGGCTCTTTAAACTCTCTCTCTCTCTCTCTCTCTCTCTCTCTCTCTCTCTCTCTCTCTCTCTCTCTCTCTCTGTGTGTGTGTGTGTGTGTGTGTGTGTGTGTG